GTCTGCCTGGGTTCTACACTAGCTACCATACCTGCAATCTAACTAGGAGATTACCTATTTAAGCTCTCTGGTTATTTCTAACAAGAGTATGACTAGCTATACATGCAACTTTTGGTTACTTATTTAAGTAGTCTGCTCTAGGTTCCACACTAGCTGCCATACCTATAACCCAACAAATGCATCAGGAAGTAGGATCGATTTTCTATTCACATGACTTCTGACCTAAATTCAGAATCAGAATCGTGTATCTACTTATATTAATTTTCATTTGACTAATTTATTAAATTTAATTTTAGTACACATAATTATGTTGTTAAAATAAAAAAAGAGTAAAGTCCATATTAAATTCTAGTAGAACTCAAATGCAAATTTCACCCGCATATGGCCTGCAAAGTAGGTTTCACTTGATTATAAAATTTTTTTTTTTATCATATTTGTAAATTAATGTTTATTATAAATTCGGTATTAAACAAATAAATTAAAGACAAATCTAATAAATTAAATTGATTAATTAGCAGTGTTAAAATAATCAAGTAAGAACTAAGAAAAGCTTTATTAAGTATTAAATCAATTTCTTTTAAATGGGTTAGAGAATGATTATAAACTTTATAATTTAGAAATAATTAAATAAATTAAAATAATAAATGTAAATAAACCAGAAATTAATATGCGAATAAAGAAAATTTATTAATTCTGTTCTATACAAATTTTAATATGAAATTTCTGTTCAATATGTTTTCTATTTACTGTATCTAGTAAATGCAATAGCAATTAAATAAATTACTAACATTACCTTGAGATTCAGACTGTTATCTAAAACTACATAGTATGCATAAGTTTTTCAGTTTAATTATTATAATATACAAATCTTATTTTTAATTAAACTTACTGTTACTTGATGTATTTGAATCGACTTCATAATATAAAAGCTCTAAAAAATGAAGCCGCTAATTAATAAATTAGAAAAAGATCCTAATCATAACTACTTATTGACTCATCAAAAAAAATTCACTTTAAAATTCATTTCAATATTTGATAATTAGTTCACTTTTAACAAAATAAAAGATTGAGATTAGTTATCAAGTATTTTTGTTTTTTTGTAATTGTTAACTTTCAAAATACAAAAATAACACAACCTCTCAATATTATACTACAATGCCTTTCTGCACTTCTTGTTCGCATACACTTTCTTCTGCTGAATTCATATATAAAGGCAAAAGCTATAAAACTTGTGCTAGATGTATGACTAACAAAGCTATCAAAAAAGATAATTTAGATGAAAAAACTATAATCTCTATTTAAGATATTAGTAATTATATCACTAATGTGATAGCAGATTTAGAACATTGTTCAAAACTTTCTCTTGTCTTTTGTATTCAGCTTGATGAGATTACACTTGGTATTGTAGGTACAGATGTCAAAGCAATAACTATATTAATAATCGATGAAATTGAGAATGGTGATGAATATAATTAGACTACCACAACTGCACCAAACCTTTCATCCTGTTATATTGGTGTTGGAAATGCATATTATACATGTTCCCAAAGTTATGAGCTTGAGCGTGAGTATAAAAACTCAAGCAGAAAAAGAATTTCTTAATTTAATTGTAATGGTAAAATATCGATCAAAATCGATATTCCAGTAGCAGAAGCTAAAGTAATTTTAAAACACGAAATGATGCATGAGAAACCTGATAATATTGCAGTATCATTAGAAATAAAACAAGAAATTGAAAAAATTTTGAATCTAAGCCCAGTAGACTTATGAACTTACCTTTGTAGTAAAAATTTTGATATGTCAAAAATTACATATAAACAAATTTATTATTGGTGGTCGTATTATAAAAAGGTTCTATAAAACTGATGAAAATCACATTATTTCTGCACAAAGGTTTTTTGAACAACAGAATGAAAATAATTACAACTTATGTTTTTAACTTGAAACCGATAACATAACGCTATTGGTTTTACCACGCATTTATTTTTAGTAACACAATATACAGAAATATATTGTGATGTTACTTATAAAACTGCCAAAGGTCGATTTGAACTTTATGAAATTGTTGGTGATGTAGAAGGCGCAGATTAGTGATTTATTTTTCTATATAAAAAATATTAAATAAATGTAAAATTAGATATTAAATATTTTGTTTAGCATATTAATAAAATTATCATGATAAATTTATGAAATTTGAGTATTTAACTAAACTAAAAAGTGCATTATTTATTATGAATTCATATAGATAATATCTAATCTAACTTTTTATAAAAAGATGAATTAGATGTTATTTATAAGATTTTACAATAATAACAAATAGTAAATAATGCACTTTATAGTTTAGTCAAATACTCAAATTTCATAAATTTGCTGCAATATATAAAATACTAATATTTTTTTATACGATATATCTCATAATATTCTATAATTAAGGTTTTTCATTAGCATAATTAATTTTGGATACAACAAAAACTAATAATTTGAATTAAGAAGGGTTATGTACCGAAGCCCTTACAGGTTTTTTCTTTGCTCTTCATAATAGTGGCCTAGATCTAATTTATTTTTACACAAACAAAGATTTTGCAGAGATCAATGCTGCAAAAGAAGCATAGCCTATGACTAATATACAGCTTTGTCTATAGCATATCAAAAAGGCAATTAAGGAAAAACTTAGAAGTCATAAAAAAATTGAATACATAAATTATAAACATGAAGAAGTTGCAAAAGAATTTTTCTTTGTCGACCCTTCTTTTATACCAGATTTACAACACAAAGATAATGAATATTATATTGTTTGTCTAACTAATCTTCATGAAAATGTTTTAATATAGTTAGAATCTATTTTCATTTACATCCTAAAATTCCTATCAATGCTAATGGACAATTTTTGTCATCTAATGAAATAAGAACCAAAGCAATTTTAGAAATATATAAATTTTGCAAAGTAAATAATCTGGTAATACTCTGGACTTACTTATGGTCTTCTTGGTATAAACCTACAAGGTGGTGT